CCCCGGACTCACGCAGTTGCACTGACACCGGGGCACTGGCCACGCCCACGCCCACGCTGGTGGCCGCCGCGACCTGGGTCCGGTAGAGAACACCGGGCAGCAGTCCCCGGAGCACCGCGGAGCGTGCCCAGCCTGCCGCAGACCGGTTGAGGTGGAAGCGACTCTCATTGCCCAGGCACCATATCTGGGGAGAGGAGACCCGGGTTCAGAGAGTCTGAAATGGGATCCTGGCCTCACGTGGAAACTTGAAGCTCTGAATGGTAGACGGGGCTTAGCCAGGCATCGTTCAGCCTGGAGGGATACTCTTGAAACCTCTCTCCTTTCCCCCAACCTCATCTCCAACCCCAAAGCCAGTCCTGGGTTTCCTCCTCCCTAATCCTAGCCCCTAGGTCCTCCCTCTCCCTCCCCTCCCCAGTCCCTTCTCAAACCCTGTACCTGGTATTCCTTGATGATCCCATTTTGCTGGGAAGGGAGTGGAGGTTCCCAGGACACTGTGACACTGCTGTTGCCTTCACCCCCCAGGGCTACTGTCACTCCCTGGGGGGGACCACTGGGGGCTGGGCCAGGGTAGAGCATGGTGAGAAAGACACAGTCATGCCAGCTACCCTTCCTGCCCCAACCTGCCCCCTCCCAGGTTGACATCTTAGGGAAGGAAGGTATCTTTTCTTTCCACAACTCCCCTTGCTCTCCCCCTGCAAACCTTTATCCTCCCCCACTCCCTCTTTCCTGTTGTCTATTCGTCAGCTCTGTGCACCACCTCCCTTACCCTCCTCAGGAATGCTCCTGGTCATGAAGGGACTTTCGGGCCCCAGCCCCTCTTGGCCTTGGGCTTGCACCTTGATCTGAATTTGGGTCCCTGGGGGGAGTCCACTTAGCACAGTACTTTGCTGGCTTGGGGACTGTAGGTCCAGTACTGTCCAGTGTCCCCCATCAGGGCCTGCTACCTTCCAAGACACTCGGAAACCTTGCACCAGCTGGACTGGGCCATCTACCTACAGGAGACAGGACAAAGCATACCAGAAGGAGAAGTAAGGACCACACAAGTCCTCCAGGTCCTGTCCCTCCTCCACTTACCTGTCTTTCCCAGCCACTCACTTCCCACTTTCCCGTACCCATTGTTGGAGATCTCTACCACCCCCATCATCGTCCCTGCCCTTAACCTCGTCCCCATGCCACACTCACAGTCCAGGACACCTGCAAGGTCCGGGGCCCAAGGACTATGGGCTCCTGCATACGCACGGCCACTTCAGCCAGTCCCCTCTGGCCTCTCCATGGGTCCTCCACTGGCCTGGATGGGTTGCTGTCTATTGACCAAAAAGCCCACTCAGCAAGGGCCACCAAGGATAGAGTCAGACTGAAAGTGTGCTGTACCGACTGTATCCTCAGTCCTCCAGAGCACACCCCAGCCTCAGGAGGGGGCTGGTCAGGGGAATAGCTTCCAGAGGTGGGCCTGTGTGTCCAGCGAATGTGAATCTAGTTTCTGCATAACCACATATGCAGCCTTTAAAGACCTCAGTTCCTCATCTCTAACATGAAGATGAACTCTCCAGTGTCCCTTCCAGTCCTCATAAGCTACGTTGTCTGTGGGTAATCCCCTCTTCTCTTGTCCCTAGATGAGAGGGAGGCCTGACCTACTCCAGGCTGGGCCACAGTAGAGACATGACACAGCAGAAGAGAGGGGCTGTGCTCCCGTGGTTTGGGGGGAGGCGTGCTCTGCAGCATTTCATGTCATAGCCTTGAGCCAGGGACTCTGGCCCTACTCACCCTGGGTGCGGACAGGCTCAGAGACGGGGCTGGGCTCACTGAGGCCCCAGGCTCCCACAGCTCGTACCAGGAACAGATAGATGGTGTTGGGCTGCAGACCGCTGACAGTGTGTGTCTCCAGCTGCACGCCATCTGCCACTGTCCGCCACGTGTTGCCAGCTGCTTGGCTGCAACAGGAATGGGGTGACAGACTTGTCTGAGCCTGGGGACCCCTCATCCATTCTCTGTGGCCCCCTACTATCTCCTTGCCCCGGGAGAGGGAACTGGCAAAACTCTCCCCACCATAGCAAAGACCCTAAGGACATAAGATTCCCTTCTTCCAACTTTCCAGGTTTGCTTTCAACATTTTCTCCATACCTGAAGGCCTCTATCACGTAAGAGGTGACTGTGGCCCCCGCCTGCGGGTTGGGCTTCCAGGTCAGGGTAATGCTGTTCTTGGTGATCTCAGTGACCAGTGGCTGAGAGGGAGGCCCTGGAGGGGTACTGGGCTCCGTAGGGGGCTCTGATGAAACTCCCCAGTCCTCTGCAGTGAGGCGATAATCTTTCAGTAGAAGGGTGGGAAAGGGACGGCACCTGCGTCACCAGCCTCCTTCCCAGAGAAGCTCTGGGGCTGTGGCATTGGTAATGGTGGAGACGGGGACGTGGTTACTGAACTGACCCCTCCTCACATCTGCCTCCCAAGGGCATCACTTGTGTCAAGCTCCTCCTCACCACCATGGCCGTGGCATTTGGAAGATAAATCAGTTCTGGGGCTCAGGGAGGTACTGAGTACCTTCGAAGCAGGTTTGGATGAAGGTGCTGGCAAAGCAAGGGGACAAACAAAACTCACCCCGCCTCCTAAGCCAGCTACTCCATGTGGCCTCCCCTGTGGAACTCTTGGCCACACAGCTGTAGAAACCCATGTCCATCTCCTGCGGGAGAGGGTAGAGGACTGGCAAACAGAGTGTATCAAGGTAGGGCAAGGGGGTGGCGGTGGGTATACAGAAGGGTGGTGAGGGCATTGTACACTTTAGGCAGTCTAAGCAGAGGAGTAGAAATGGAGTTAGTCCCAGAGGGTACTTCCGAGATTTGGGCATGTGGACTGTGTGGCCATTCTCGGTTACTCAGGGCCCAGGGGTGAGACTCACCTGCACCCTGGCGATGTACAGGGTACCGTTGGCCATTAGATTGAGTTGCACGTCGTCCCCCTGCAGCCACTGCCCGTCCTTCTTCCACTGGATGCTAGGTTGAGGGTTCCCAGTCACTCTGCATGGCAGCCACACAGAGGAGCCAAGTGCCAGCGTCTGATTGGCTGGTCCCTGGAGGATGATGGGAGGCAGCCCGTCCAAGGAGGAGGCTGAGAGAGGAAGAACTTGGGCACCTCAGGAGAGGATCCTGGGTTCAGGAAACCAGACCCTTGTCCTCCTTCTCTGCTCCTTCAGCCCTCCTTCCCCTGGAGATTGGAAGGGTTTCGATAACCATCTGTAGTCTCTGCCTGGAACCAGCCATCTATTACTGGCTTCTGTAGCTGATTTCCTAACTTCAAGGCCATGTCTCAGGAACACGCCCCTCCCCTTGCAGACATATGATACAGAACCCAAGAAAAACAGATGTCCTTAAGCCATGATTTCCTTCCAGGCCATGGGGCCAGGCCTCTCTCCATGAGCACTTACCTGCTTTTACCTCCAACAGGGCCTTGGCCAGGATGCTGCCGGCCACACTAACAGCCTGACACACATAGTAGCCAGCGTCCCCACTCTGCACATCAGTAATGTTGAGCTGGCCTCTGGGAGAGACTGAGAAGCGCCCCTTGGGCTGAAGTGGCTGACTGGGGAAAAGCAGGACCTGTGGACAAAGCAAGGAACCGAGATAAGGAATGAACAGGCAGCTGGCAGAGAGATCCCCATTCCCATCAACCCCCGAATTCAGAGAATCCCTAAGGTTCTAGTTCATACTGTCCCCAGCCAGTTATATGACCTTGGGCAAAATAGTTAGATTGACTCACAAAAATGTGGAAATTTTATGAGATGATATTGGGGTGCACTTCCTAGCTTTGTGATTACTAGTTGGGAAACTCTGAGCAACATATTTAACCTTCCTGAGCCCCAGTTTCCACAAAGTTGATAGTCATGAGGATAGTCATGAGGATTAAATGATTAAACATATGAAAATCTTTTAATGCATTGTGTGATAATTGTCAAAAACTTTCCCCTTCTTTCTGGCTTTAGCATTTTACGTTACCTAGATACATGGAAGGTAGGGAAGGTGGTTGGGTCACAGGTAAATGGCACCAGGCTGATCCCCTGATGGATACCTACTCCCACCCTCTACTACCACCAGCATTTTTATTCATTTAAAATACAGCAATCCCAGATGCTAGAGAAGATATTGGAAAATTGTGGCTGTGGATTTGAAATGAGGTAGTGGGAGAGCTGGTTTTCCAGGGAGGTGGAGTTAGGCAGACTTATTTTATTATACTGACCCTGCTTCCTAGGAGCAAAATGCCCACCTTTCACCTAGTGGGCGGGACTGGTGTTGTAACTTCAGTTAATATTCCTTCCTGTTGTGCAATCAGCAATTTGTTTGCGAAGACTGGAGAGGGGTGCCTGTGAGCTCCCCCTGGTGGAAGTCCCTTGTAAAATGATGAGCAAGTAATGCTGTTGGCTGAGCAGCTTTGGTACAGTACACACTTTCCAGAGCAGCATATTAAAGCCCAGACCCCAGGTGTCTGGGAGAGGAGGCATCCAAGTGGATGTGCTACATCCTCAGGGCAGCCTTGCCTAAAATAGAAGGATTCTCCAAGGAATTACCATACAGGACTATTTCCTTTCACCTAAACATATTATCAGGTTTTTTTTTTTTTTTAAGTGTTCGGTATGTTAGCTAGCCCTTTTATATTCATTATCTTATTTGACCCACCCAAATAACCTGCAAGGGTTTCTGGGAGGACCAAAGGTAAAACAGAGAGAAGTGTGCAGAGAATACAGAAGCGGGGAGGCTAAGACCCAGAGGAGAAGATTGTGGGAAGGCCCACCATGCAGCTGGCCACCTACTTGACTTCCCTCCTTCTGCCAGAAGATGGCAGGTGGGGGGTTTCCTTTGGTCTCGCATTGGAAAGCCACGCTCTCTCCAGGAGCTGCCATCTGGTCCTGGGGCTGGGTGACCAGCTGGGGAGGGACTGGGAAGGGGGAGGGGATAAAGGAACAGGGAGTCAGGGTACTCAGAAGGGAGACTGAGGGAACAGGAGAGAGAAGCCCAAGCTTGGCTTAAGTAAGAGCAGATATCCATCTGTTGTTCAAGCCTGTTCAGCTCTCTCCTTCTAGAAGTGTTAAGGGATGCCCCACCACCACCATATCTCCCATTCTGTCCTTTGTCCCTCATTCTCCTCTTCATCCCATCCTCCCTGGTCCCTCATTTCATCCCTGCTTCTGACAGTCCCAGGCCGGCCCTCACCGTGAACACTGAGGGAGCCAGATGCTTCGGCACGGCCCACGCTGTTCTCAGCCACACAGGTGTACGTCCCCTCATCGTCCGCACTCACACGCCCGATCCAAAGGCTGTGGTCACTCCGGATCTCATACCTGCTCCACTCCCCACCCCCAGAATGGGTTGGCCACAGCTAGAGACCCCTTCTCTCTCCCCCAGACAGACACCAGGATCAGGGTACGTAAAGACAAGGTAGGCCTCAACGGGGACAGAGGCTGGTACCCATGGACCCATAAAAGGAGCTGGGGACTGGAGAGGGGAGGGGCCACAGGCTCCAGGGTAACAGATTTCTCTGAGCTGTCGAGCGAGAGGGTGTCTGCCTGTCCCTTTTCTAGGGCAGGGTGTGCTCTTGAGTGGTTGGGTCTCCTTACAGGCAGGAGGAGGGGGCTTCTCACCTGCCTGTGGGTAGTTCCCCATCTTCCTTGCGCCATCTTAGACGAGGTGGCGGATCTCCTTGCACCTCACATGGGAAATCCACGGGGGCATCTGCCAGGACCACCTGATTCACAGGTCTACGCAGGAATGAGGGTCGCTCTATGGATCGGGAAGGAGTGAATCATCAAGGGATCTGCACAGCTTCTTACTGCCCAGGCTGCACACCCGCATAATCCCCAAACTCCCTGTGCCTACCCAGGACCACAAGTTCGGCTGCCCCACTCTCCCGTTCTCCTGCCATGTTGGAGGCCACACACACATACATCCCTGCATCACTCTTGAGTGTATGTGACATCATCAGCTTCCCTCCACGAATCTGCAGAGTAATAATGGTAACTTTGGTCTTTTGTAACCATCAAAGTATATTTATCTATTTGATCCTCCTAGTAAACTAATGAAAACCTGTAAAGTTGACTCACTTATCAGATAAGGAATCCTTAAGTGATTTACCCAAGGTGGGGCTCAGGTCTGTGTTTGTTCCCACAGCCCAAACCACCTCCCACAAGTCCCTGGGGCATCTTGCTCCCCACCTAATTCATACCAGTTTCTTCCTATCCATCCTTAACTTATCCCTTACTTAATAGCTGCCTCTCAGCCTCTGGTCAGCTGATACCCTGACCTTAAATCTCCTGCCTTATCACATCTAAGACATTATTCCTCGCCCCTCCAAGACCCTGAGATTCACTGCTTCCTCCTTTGAGACATACCCAACCCCCTAACCTGTGGCTCCACCTCTCATGATGGCTCTGGCCCTGGCCCTTAGTCAGATCCCTAGCCAGGGCACGCCTCCTCACCGTGATCCTTCCCTCCTCCTCCTTGAGTCTTGCACTGTCCTTCTTCCAAGACACGGAAGGCTCCGGGTGGCCACGGGGGGGCACGCATTCCATTACCGCTGGCTCCCCCACTGCCACCACCACATTCCCAGGAGACTGCCGGAAATCATCACGGAGGACTGTAAAGAGAGACAGACAGACAAGGACAGAGACAGAGACAAAGAGACAGTGAGAATGAATGACCAGGGGAATAAACAGGAGTAACTGGGTTAAGACACAAGGCAATTGTTTTGGGGAGGGCTGTATCACCGCAGACGGGAACTCTTGCCCAGGGGCCAAAATACCAGGGCCACTTCCTCCCTCCGGTCAAGGCATGGATGTTAGAGACCAAAGGTCACGGTTTCCAAAGAAGATGTTGAAGGAGCTGAGATCGGGCTGGTTCTGGATCGGATTATCTGGTACCCTCCCGCCTCCCCTAGGCTGGGGAAGCAATCAGCGGACAGTGCGGACTCTCACCTGCCACTTCTAGCGAGGCATTTCTACTAGCCGCTGCCCCCAGGTAGTTGCGCGCCACGCAAGTGTAGACACCTTCGTCGGGCCGCGCGCGGCGCCCGTGAACGATGCGCGGGAAGAAGAGTGCCCCGCTGGGCAGCAGCAGGCGGTGCGCGCGCGGGTCCTCGCGCGCAGTGGCCACTCGCGCCCCATTCTTGTACCACTCGATGTTGGGCCTGGGCCGGCCCTCCGCGCGACAGGGCAGAGTGGCCGGCTCGCCTCTGGAGACCAACAGATCAGGCGGCTGCTCCACTATGCGCGGCATCGCGTCCTCCGGCTCGACCCTTGACGCTAAGAGTAGGGGTGTTGGCACAGAGCATTTAGACCGGGAAATTAGGGGAGAGATTGAGGCTCCAGAGAGAAAAATAACCACTCCTGCCCACCCTGCCCACCCTTTCTCTGTAAGGTCCATTGTCTCCTCTGGGAAGGCACTCCCACGTTCTTGGGCTGGTGAGGACACACGTTACAAACAGGCAGATCGGTAGAGGAATCAGGACACCAACTCCTAGGCTGGCTTTCTAGGCTGCCCAAAGACAGACACTAGCCTTCTCTCTGGCCAAGTTTGAGTGACAGCCCACTGTTATTCAGTCTCCCACCCTCACTGGTTTTCAGATTGTCCTTGCCCCTGAAGACCTGCACCAGAGCTAACACTTGTTTCTTGGCCCTCTGCATGGCCGCGGGTCATAAAAATGGAGAATGGGGACAAGCCTGGAGTCCCTCCCTTAGGAAAGGTAAGAGGAGACTGATCCGACTAGAGACTGGACTAGAAGGGGTTCTTAACCTGGAGCCCATGAATGGACATGGAGCCCTTTTTCTTCTTTTTCATTTCTTAAAAAAAAAATTTTTTTTATTAAGTAAACTCAATGCCCAACATGGGGCTCCAACTCACAACCTTGAGATCAAGAGTCACCTGCTCTCCCAACTGAGCCAGCCAGGTCCCCCTCTTACTGACACCCCAGACAATCATGCTTGGAAAAACCTGTAGAGTCACAGGACTTGAGTGAAAATGGTAGTGAAAATGTTAGTAGTGGCTCCTTTTCTAGAGGTGCAAAGTTTTCAACAGATTATTCTACAGGTTGATCGACGGATAGAGGCTAAGAACCACTGGGAAGGGGATTCCTCTCCTTCCTGTCCCATCAGATCCATTCACCTGGATGTTCTGCTCCTGCCTCTCACTTGGCCTACAGACTTCTGCTGGCTTCATCCTCTGCACTTGCCTTGGGATCCAGGATCCTGGAACCCGTTAGGCTCAGACACTTCCAGCTTCTTCTGAAGTGGATTCCTAACCCATGGCGGCCAGTAGGCGCCGCTGCTGCCTCGCGTGATTTGGTGTCCTCCGATAACCAGGGACTATCCCCGCTTCTGTTCTCTACCTTACCCTTCCCCGCCCGCGCCCCTCCCACTCTGTTCCAAAATCCGCAGGGACCTCCCTGTAGCTTCACGCTTCGTGTGGGATCGGGTTTCATTTCCCCACCCCTACCCTGAGAAGTTCTTATGGAGACTAGGCCGGAAGGAGGTTGCCCCATGCTGGTACTGTCCCGGGGAGAATTTATTTAGCTGCTAGGACCAGATTAGTGTCTCTCCTACTTAGGGAAGGGAGTAATTTTTCTCCGGTTGCTTCCTTCCAAATGGAGATCTCTGCTTCTCGGTCGTCTCTTCCCCTGCACCTCGTCCCCGTCCGGTTTAGACAGACCTCCATCCTGAGCGACACTAGAGTGGTGAAGAGCTCAGGGGTCGTCCTGGAACCAAGTAGGGCTGGGATCTCAGATTTGACACTTCCTGACTGCAAGAACTTGGGCAAATTATTGAATTTGTTTGAGTCTCAGTTTATTTATTTTAAATATGGGAGTAGTGACAGGGTTGTCTTCAGATCATAATATATGTAAAGCAATTGAGGGAAGGCTCAATATATATGTCAATTCTGTGATGACTTGAGGGCTCTCCCTCCCTGGCCTACCTTAGCTTATCTTGGCTACTATAGTCTATACCTGACTCAGATTCTAACAGGCCCCAATATTCCTTGTTCCCCTTCACAAATCATTAGAGTGTACTGGAAATAGGTTTGTTATTGCTAAGCTTTATGTTGCTTCTCTGACCCCTGGGGTCTTTTCATCTTTTCTGAATTTGTTTCCTCACTTGCAAAATGTGGCCATCAACGCCTTCCCTACAAACCTCCTTACATTTTCCAGCTTGAATGAGGCAGTGTATGGTGGAACCTACACCCTAAGAGCGCTGGGGGAACGGAGGTGTGTCTGGGGCGTCTGTGAGAAGGGCTCTCTCTGTGCCTACCCTCCTGGGAATCTACAGCGGGTCAGGAATTTGGAGACCTCCTGCTCATTTCCGACTTTCTTCGTCCCTGCTCCTTCGTGTACATACCACACCCTTCTGGTCGGCCCTTTCCCCCTAATTCCTGTAGACACAGCTGCAGGCGCCCTTTCCCTGGAATTTCTTCCCTGTCATTCCCGGTCTCAGGAGAGGCTCAGACAGCAGCTAATGAATAGCTAATGATCATGCTAATAGCGCTCTGGGGCTCCTCCCCCAGCACCTGGAGTACCCCAGACACAAACACATGCACATTGTCTAGGTCTCCTTTACCGTCATCTTCGAGTTTCCAGGACCGTGCTGCCCCTAGATTCGAGTGGGTGGATGTCAAGGGATGGGGACTGGGGAGGAACCACGGGGGAAATCACCCGCAAAGAGGTCCGGGAAAGCGGGGGATTCCCGACACCGCTCGCAGGGGGCGCGATCGGGCCTCTCCCCAAGACTCCGGGAGATCAACTCTGGCCGCCTCCCCGCCGCGCTAGGGGCGAGCGCGCTGTCTAGTCATTTATTAATCACCGTAATTAGCGGTAACGACCTCGCCGCCGGCGCAGCCAGCCCGCCGCAGTTCCGCGGGGTGGGCCGGGGTGAGTTCCACCTCTGAGGGGCAAACTTCTGAGTTTCCCTAACACGGTCTCAGCGTCTGTCGCCCTCTGTAGTAAACACACCCAACATTTTAGCTTCCTCACCCTAATCCTAAGTGAGCTCTTGGAAAACTTAGGGTCCCGAAGGAAAACTTGCTACCTGGGTGAGTCACTAAGTGGCGCGGCTTGGCCACCGCGTTCCTTCCTCTGCCCTCCCTGCAGTGGGTCCCAGCCACTCTAAGCTCCGTAGTTGCCACGGTTCTCACTTGGGGCGGCAGTGGCGGTCGGTGGGGCAGGTGGAGAGCAACGGACTTAGCAGCCATCTCCTCCCAAGCCCTCGATCTTCCGTCGATACCTCCACTCGGGTGCTAGAAGCTCCAAATTATCCCCTGGTCCCCAATCCGGAGGAGGCGCTAGGAGGCGCCGCTTGGTCCCAGTTATTGGGACAGGAGCTCTTTGACCTCCCCTTCCACGACACCCTCCCACCTTACACCATCCCTTGATCTGAGGTCCCCATGGAGCAAGGTCTTACCGTTGAAAGAGGGATCGCCGGGGGGCAGCAGGCTGTGGTTGAGCGCCGCTACCGAGGAGTTGAAGCCGAAGAGCAGGTCACTGGAGTTGGAAATGTCCCCCGCCAGGGAGTCCGCGAACAAGTTCATCTGCAGCAGTGTTTTGAGCAGGTAGCGCAGCATGGCGCGACCCAACTGGGACCGGGGCGGGGGGCTCGGGGCCCAGCCCCTGGGTCTGAGACCCGCGGGCCGGGAGCCGAAAGCCCCTCCACAGCCTCTGCGCACTGCCCCAGCCACGGTGCCGCTCTCCTGCCGGCGCGCCTGGGTACGGTGCGTGCCTCCGCGTGCCCTCCTCCTTCCCTCGTCCTTCTCTCCACCCCCCAGTGCCGGGGTCCCCCGGGAGCTGGGCGGGCGGAAAGCAGGTGCCACGCCGATCACGGCGTAATTAAGGGATTAATCCGCCTCCTTCCACCCTCCCATCCCCACCCGGATGGCCACTAGCAGGGCCAGAGACTAGAGTTGCGTAGCGCGCGAGTTGGAGTCCCCGCCCCGCGCCCCGCGTCCTGGGTCGGGTTCTGGACACCGCAGGAGAGTTTCCCTCCTTTCTCAAAGCAGCCAAGATGAGGGGCGAGGCTCTGTCGGACTCTGCCCTTATGACTGACTTTAAAACAAGAATCCCATCTCTCTTTTAACGGCCCTTAGGCAAAAGAGCAAGAACACTCCCCTGGCTGTCAAAGCCCTGGCTTTCATTTCCTCCCAAGTCCGGGGTCTTAGCGGCGCAGTGCTGGAGGCTGGGGTGGTTTGGAGCGGAAGTTGGGAGTGGGTGGGGAATAACTGCATGGCACGTCCACCCCTTTACCCCGCGGCCGCCCGTTTGGCAGCCGAGAGGCCAGGGGACAAGGTTCCGAGTCTTGAACCGGAGTCCTGCTTCAGACGCTCTAATCTACTAGTTCTTGCAGGAGGCTAAGAACAAGGATAAAACCGGAGGGGGGGCGGAGCCCCAGGTTCCCAGGCATTTAACAGCTATATGCATACCTCTGGCATCGATTTGCATACTTTTGCATTACTGTGCTCTGACATTGTCTATTAAATTGTTTTACCTTCTTGAGGAGACTGAATGAATCAGATAGTCCAGGACGAAGACAAAGAGAGCAACATTGTTTCTGTAAAGGCAAGTTCAAGAAAAGAGGAGGGGTTGATGCAAAACTCGTGCACATCCTGATAACGGTCTTTCCCACGGGGAGCTGTGGGGAGAAACCATGATCCCCTCTCCTCCGTCCGGACTGCTTCTGAATTTTCTGCAGTTCTTTTTACCTGAAGATCTAGTCCCCCACCGCCCACCCACCCGTCCACTCGCGCGTGTACACACACACTCGCTCACTTTCCTAGGCTGGAGATAGCATTGGGGTGTCAAGGGAAGAGAGACCGGCGGCTTCCGATCTGGGGTAAGGTCGTGTTGATGGCTGAGTGGTGGAGTTCTAGCTCAGTCATCAGTTTCTGTATGATGAGATCACCTTAGTGGGGTCGCTGCTTGACTCAAAGGGCTAGTTAACGAGATCCAGAGAGGTCTCACGGGTCGTAGAGCTCCACAGTAAGCACACTCAAGAGTTGAGACGGGCAGGCGCTTCCAGTGAACCAGAGACTTTGTCAAAGGCTTGTCCCAAAACTCCACCCTCAATCCACACGCTGGCCCCTGTGGCCTCAAACTAACAAAGTAACAGGTGTTTAGGTATCTTCCTACCCTCTCAGAGTCAGCTTTGCCCTGAATTTAGCAAAGCCGGAAGCAAAGGTGCTGGGGGTGGTGGGGGTGGTGGGGGTGGTGGGGGTTGGGGCGCGGAGACAGAATTGTGGGAGGCAGCGCCCTGGGAGCTGTTCTTTCAGCACCTCCTCTGCCCGTGCTGAACTTGGGGTCTGGCGCCCCACAAATGGCTTAAATCCGAGCAGACCATGAGGCTGAAATGAGTTGGGGTAGATGAGAGAGGGGGTGGCGACACATTCTCTCTAAAGCACCAGGATACTAAAAGATGGGATATGACGCCTGCCCCTTACCCCAGGGCCAGGCTGCATTCAGGTAAGATAGAATCTAAGGGATAGGTTTCCCTCACCAGAAATCAACCCGTTCAGGAATGACCAGCCCAGAAATGCGTTCCGATCCCATATATGCCAATTAGAAGACACCATCGCTCTGGACTTCAATTTCCTCATCTGTTAAGGAGAAATTGTACTACTTTCTCTGCTCTGATGCTTCAGATTTCTGGCTGGGGGCCCTCTGCTCTGCCTCCTGCTGACTGGGGTCACCCAGGTTCCATCACACCAGGGCTAAGGCAGGACAGAAATCCTGGGTCCTGGCACCTGGCCCTGCTGTGGGGCGTGGAGGGTTGCAGCAGACAGGAAACTGCATCCTGCCATGTGGCTCCTGCCCCATCCTAATCCCCTGATTTGCTCCCTGTCGGCCTCTCAGCAAACACAGCGCCTGCCAGCGTCTAGGGGCTTGTCACCCTGTTAGCGGATTTGTTCCCAGAGACGGCGCAGTTAATTGGCCCTTTATGTGGGGATCAGGGCGTATTTGCTCAGGGTTCCCTGAGCGGAGGCTGCAATTCAGCCCATGGGCGAGGCTGCTTCCTAATCCCTGTCATCCTGATTTGGAGGTTTGACAAATAGTGGGGCCACTCTCCTTTCCGGGACCCTTCTGGCCTGAATCTCCCATTCCTCTTCTACATCTCACCCCTTCTTGGTACATCCTTTTTCCTATCCACACCTTTCTTCTTGTTTCTCTCTGTTCTTTCCTTCCTTTGTACTTCTCTGTATCTCCAGAATTCTCTCCCATTAAACCAACTTAGACCTAATGACAAAAAGTAGGTGAATACTCAACTGGGGATATACTGGAGAACAAATACCTCCCAAGTCTAAGTTCCCTCCCCCTGCCCAAGTGTTCCTAGAACCCTAGAACCCAGAGAAAAGACAGAGAAGGTCCAGCAGGGTTCACACCTTCCAGTCCTGCAGCCCACTCTTTCCCTTCCTTTCTTTACTTAAAGTCAAAGGGGCAGCATGAAAACTGGCCCTGCACCTTTTCAAGTAAACTTTTCTCTGGGCTATTTCCAGAGGCCATTATAGAAGGAGTTTGCCTCCTATTTGTCTCCTCACTGGCCGCCCCTCTCCTCCCGCAAAATACTAAACTCTGGCTTCTACCTCTTACATAGAGAGAGTAAGTAACTCTACCTCCATTTCCTGACTTGTAGACTGTAGGTGCTTGTGTAGCATCTAAAACACTATGTGTGCATTGCAATCACAGGGCCCTTGTGTAGGGATCCATTCAATTCATTTGTAAGTTTCCACCTTAGGCTGAAAAAAGAATCAGAGTCGAGTTCTGGGCCCATCCCTTCTACTGTGTCAGGAGACTACTTCTTTTCCAGAGACTTATCAGTAATAGAGTCTGCACTTTATTTTTTTTTTTAATGTTTATTCATTTTTGAGAGGGGGGAGGGGCAGAGAGAGAGGGAGACAGAGGATCCAAAGCAGTCTCTGTGCTGACAGCAGAGAGCCCAATGTGGGGCTGAGACTCACGAACCCTGAGATCATGACCTGAGCTGAAGTCAGATGCTGAACTGACTGAGCCACCCAGGTGCCCTTAGAGTCTGCACTTTAAAAGGAAGTGTAAGGTAAGGAAGAGAAAAGGAAGTTTGGAAGTTAGCAGACAGAAGAGAGAGTAGCAGCAGGCAGGGAGGTTGGGGAAAGTTAAGCCTATGGAGAAAGAAGTTTGTTCTGATAGCGTTATGGTATCTAGGGGGAGTGTGTGTGTGTGTGTGTGTGTGTTGAGGGAGAGAGTAGTTACCCCAGGCCAGCTTGCTTGGCCTAGGGCCAGCACATAGGCCAGAGAATGTGGCTGGGAATTTTCAGTGACCGAGCTGGGGGCTGTATAGGAGGCTTCTTGGTGGTCCAAAGCCTGCATGCCAGCTGGTAGTAGATGAAGCTGCTGGCATGTAATTGCCCAGGAGGGCAGTCTGAGGACAAACCTCCCCCCAATCCACACGGATTACTGCCACTGTCTGTCTCCCCAGTACGTTCGCATGTGCACACACACCCACCCACACACCCACACATACATATCGCCCAGTCCATTTACATCCCCCTAGAGCCTGCAGCTCCTCTCCTCCATTACTCTCTCTGCCTGGACCTCTTCCCAGAGCACTGGTACACATTGAGCATATGTGTGTGTTTTGGGGAGGGGCAAGGAACTAACATCTGTCCTCCACCCCTACTAGGCTATGCCTGCGAATGGCCCAGCAGGGTCGCTGGCTTCAGAGTGAGGATGCCAGGGGGCAGTGACCCAGCCAGCAGGGGCCAGAGGGCCAAACAGGAGGGGGGATCAGAGAGCAAAGAGCAGACACCCGGCTGGAAAGCAGACAGCAGGAGCCTGCCCCCGGCAGGAGCCAGAGTTTGTTGGCTCGACCCCTGTAGCTGCTGAGATAATAAGCCAGGGCCCCCTGCCCAAGGGTACCCTTTCCCCCCAGGGCTCCAGTGGAGGAGCATGCAGGGAGACACTTTGCAACACACTCCAGCAAGTCTGGAAATCTGGAGGCAACTGGGCAGAAATATCCACACCTCAGTCCAAACGGAAAAACAATGACTGAGGGAGAAAGAGCTTTCTCAGTTCCTTTTATAAAACTTGGTATGGAGCAAGCACTCCGTAAATACTGGTTTAGTGATTACATCTGATTAACGCCTAGTCCTCACAACTGCGCCCTCAGAGCCCACTAGCCTTCTCTGCCTGGCTGCCTCCACCCTACTCCCCTTCTTATATTATTTCTGAGGCCTGTTGTTACAAAGTACCACAAACTAGTGGCCTCACACAGCAGAAATTTATTCTCTCACAGTTCTGGAGGCTAGAAGTCTGAAGCCAGTGGGTCAGCAGGGCTATGCCCTGTCTGAAGGCTTTAGGGGGAATCCTTCCTTGCCTCTTCCAGCCTCTGGTGGGTGCTGGCAGTCCTTGGCTTTTACAGCATCACTCCAATCCCTGCTTCCATTTTCATATGGCATTCTTCCATGAGTGTGTGTGTGTGTGTGTGTGTGTGTGTGTGTGTGTGTGTGTGTTATAAGGACAGCAGTCATTGGATTAGAGCCCACATCAGTACAGCATGACCTCCTCTTAATTATCTCTCCAAAGATCCTAATTCCAAATAAGC